AGTCGGGGTTTCACCATGTTGGCCAGTTTGGTGTCAAACTCGGGACTTCAGGTGATCCGCCCACCTTGGCCTCCCAAAGTGTTGGGATTACAGGCGTGAGCCACTCCACCCAGCCTGTCTTTTAAACTTTAAAGGTTTGATAATGATGGAACCTGTAATCATATTGCCTATATTGTCACTTTCTATGCAGTGACGATTGTTTCTAACTATTGCCCAAAAAAAAAAAAAAGGCCCTCTGTGTCTTCAAAGGAGGATTAAATTCTTCTCAGTTTGTGTTATTGTTTGTTTTTTTGAGATAGTGTCTGGCTCTGTCTCCCAGGCTGGAGTACAGTGGCTCAGTCTCAGCTCACTGCAGCCTCCACCTCCAAGGCTCAAACCATCCTTGTATCTCAGCCTTACAAGTTGTTGGGACTACAGGTGCGTGCCACATGCCTAGCTAATTTTTCTATTTTTTTGTAGAGACGGGGTTTTGCCATGTTGCCCAGGCTGGTCTCAAACCCTGGGCTCTAGCAGTCTGCCTGCCTCAGCGTCTCAAAGTGCTGGAATTACAGGTGTGAGCCACCCTGCCTGGCTTTTTTTATTTTTATTTTTTATTTTTATTTTTTTTTTAAAGAGACAGGGTTCAGGCTGGAGTGGTGCAGTGGCATGATCATAGCTCATAACTCTTGGGTTCAAACAATCCTTCTGGATTGGCCTTTCAAAGTGCTGGGATTACAAGTGTGAGCCACCATGCCTAGCCTGTGTTAGATCTTTTTATTCTTTGGAAATTTTTGATTTCCAGAATGAAATTGCTGATTATTTAAAATATATATATATGTTAACTTTTTTTTAGGAGTGAAATGTAGGCATCTGTAAAGATGATAAAGATATGATCAAGATGAAAATTGTTGACTTTCTGTAGAATTTATACAAAGCCTTTGTACATGCCACATCACATTGCATTTCAGCGAAAGATGGAGGGTATTCCAGAGAGTTCTATTAGAAAGAGAAAACACATGTAGGCCAGGCACGGTGGCTCTCTCCTGTAATCCCAGCACTTTGGGAGGCTGACTTCAGGCGGATCACCTGAAGTCAGGAGTTCAAAATCAGCCTGGCCATGTGACAAAAACCGGTCTCTACTAAAAATATAAAAATTAACTGGACGTAGTGGCATATGCCTGGTAATCCCAGCTACTTGGGAGGCAGAGGTTGCAGTAAGCTGAGATTGCGTCACAACCCTCCAGCCTGGGTGACAGAGCGAGACCCTGTCTCAAAAAAAGATAAAAGAAAACACATTGTAGAAGAGGAAAGCAGAGGCTGGGCATGGTTGCTCGTGCCTGTAATCCCAGCACTTTGGGAGGCCGAGGTGGGTGGATCAGCTGAGGTCAGGAGTTTGAGACCAGCCTGACCAACATGAAGAAACTCTGTCTCTACTAAAAAAATAAAAAATTAGCTGGGTGTGGCGGCACATGCCTGTAATCCCAGCTACTCAGGAGGCCAAGGCAGGAGAATTGCTTGAACCCAGGAGGCAGAGGTTTTGGTGAGCTGAGATTGTGCCATTGCACTCCAGCCTGGGCAACAGAGTGAAACTTCATCTCAAAAAAAAAAAAAAAAAAAAAGAAAAAAAATAAATGCATAAAAAAAAAAAAAAAAAAAAAAAAAAGTCAATATGAGGTAATAAATTCTAAGTTTTTTGTTTTGTAAACCTTGCTTCTCTCAAATTATTTTCCCAAAAAGCCTTAAATGTTTTCCATAGCAATTTTGATTTGGGAATGGAATAAGTGACTTGATGGACAGTGCCATATGCCTTTTCTCATATCCTACGTCTTAATTTGGCCTTTTCCCCAGTTTCCCCTGGTGTTATCATCTTGTATTGATGTGGTATATTTATTATAATTGATGAGTCAACACGGATACATTATTACTAACTAAAGTCCATAGTTGACGCTGGGGTTCATTCTTTTTGTTGTATATTCTCTTGGTTTTGACAAATGCTTAATGTTACATATCTATCATTACAGTATCATACAGAATAATTTCACTGCCCTAAAAATCTCAGCCTCCACCTATTCATCCCTCCCTGCCTCCCTAAACCCTTCATATTTTTACTCTTTCCATAGTTTTGTCTTTTCCAGAAAATCACAATTATATAGCATGTACCCTTTTCACACTGGCTGCTTTGACTTAGCAATCTGTATTTAACATTTCTCCATGTCTTTTCATGACTGTAATTTTTATTTTATTTTATTTGAGATAATCTTGCATTGTCACTCAGGCTGGAGTGTGATAGCTTGATCTCAGCTCACTGCAACCTCTGCCTCCTGGGTTCAAGCGATTCTCCTGCCTCAGCCTCCTGAGTAGCTGGGACTATAGGCACGTGCCACCATGCACAGTTAATTTTTGTATTTTTAGTAGAGACGGGTTTGACTGTGTTAGCCAAACTCCTGACCTCGTGATCCGCCCACCTGGGCCTCCCAAAGTGCTGGGATTACAGGTGTGAGCCACTGCGTCCTGCCGACCGTAATATATTTTTAAGCTGGTTTTTTGTTTGTTTGCTTGCTTGCTTCAAAAAACTGACCTCTGCAGTTAGTTGAGGTATTCAGGTTTCTCCTATGAACATATGTGAACATTGTATGTATTTAGTATTCATTGGAAAGTGGTTATTCCCGGGCCTTTGCAAAACTAAGTGAAGATCTGCACCCGCCTGCACATTTCACATGGTAACAGGAATATACTATAGCTGCACATGTTCCTGCAGTAGATGCCAGACAAGTTTTAGGGCTTAAAGATTTGGGTAGTTTTCGCCTGACTTGGGGATCTATAGTAAGACATGAAAGTAATTTTTAGATCTTGTTAGTGACTCAGCTTTCAAATAGGTATTTTCCACTCCTTTTAAAATCTTCTGGCTCAGTTTAATTGAAGAATACTCTGAGACTGCAAGTTGAGCTGTTTAAATCCAGGTACTGTTTGCACTGCTTACCTATGTGAATTTGAATTTTATCATCAGGCAACAAAAGCAAAGTACATGAATGAATTGGAACATAAGGTTGAAATAAGACTGTAACCTTAATTTCAAATGTTTGTATTTGTAAAAACAGCTATATATTTTCATTGACTGTCAAAGTAACTATATACGTTTAAACATAAACTATTTAATATGCTGCCTCTGTCTATCCTACATGTTGAGGTCCCTGTTGTCTTTTAAACTTTTTTTTTT